ATGGAATATTACTCAGCCATTAAAAAGAATTCATTTGAATCAGTTATAATGAGATGGATGAAACTGGAGCCCATTATACAGAGTGAAGTAAGCCAGAAAGATAAAGACCAATACAGTATACTAACGCATATATATGGAATTTAAAAAGATGGTAGCAATAACCCAATATGCAAAACAGGAAAAGAGACACAGATGTGCAAGACAGACTTTGGGACTCTGTGGGAGAAGGCAAGGGTGGGATGATCTAAGAGAATAGCATTGAAACAAGTATACTATCAAGGATGAAACAGATCACCAGCCCAAGTTGGATGCATGAGACAAGTGCTCAGGGCTGGTGCACTGGGAAGACCCAGAGGGATGGGATGGAAAGGGAGGCGGGAGGGGGGATAGGGAAGGGAAACACATGTAAATCCATAGCTGATTCATGTCAATGTATGGCAAAAACCACTACAATATTGTAAAGTAATTAGCCTCCAACTAAAAAAAAAAAAAAAAAAAAAAGGAAAATGTACTTAATGTACTTTGCTCAGTAGTTAGCATCCCATTGTCTTACTGGTTCCTCTTCCCTTGCTCCTATTTTTTCCCATTGAAATCCTCTGGGGAAACTCAAAATTCTTTCCTCATATGATAGAGAGAATTTAGCTCTCCCTAGCTTTGTCCACAAAACTATATAACCAAAATCATAGAATGTCTTAGCTGAAATAAGATCTTGTTCCCATTTAGTGGGATCTGTCCTCTTTAGGGTTAGCTCTTTAGATGATAGCTGGAGTTATAGGAAGCAAGACAATTTTTCAATTCTAGCTAAGTCACCTCTGTAATTCCCGCCCTGAGATCCCCTGATTCTGTCTTCCATCCTCTGGTCAGAGGATCTTTCTAAATCTCAAATCTGACCCTGACACTCTTCTTCAGTGGCTTTTCCTAGCCGGTAAGATAAGATTGCATATCCTAACCAACATAGAAATCCTTCCATGAACCATTCCTTTCTATATCTCCAGCTCCATCTCTTTTTATTCTACACCACCTCCAACACACACACACACACACACACACACACACACACACACACAGAGGTATGGCTTCTGCAAAACTGGAATCTTTGGGGTCTCAAACCATGCCAACCGGCTTCTTTCCTGTATTCCTTTTCTCATATTGTTTCCTCTAACTGAAATACCCTTCCCCTATCTCCAACTTTCCTATCTTTCTCTGTACCCTAACTCATTCTTTATAGCCGGGTTTAGAAATATTTTCCTTCTGAAAGAATTCTCTCTGACCTTCCACAGCCGGGTCAAGTACCTCGTCAGAAGACCCGAGGAGCTCCCTCTGTCGTCCTCCCCACACAGACTAGGAGCGGTGGCCTCTGTTCCTTTGGTCTCACTACTGCTTCGTGCAGCTCTCTTTCAGACAGTATGTTTTGTTTCGTATCACTTTTCTACCCGATAGATGTTTATCGAGGACATAGTATGAGAAGGGTGCTGCTCCAAAATCTCTGCCCTTTGAGAGTTTGTATTCTGATGAGAAGGGCAGAAAACAAGCAAATCGATAAACACTATCGTTCAGGAAGTGATAAGACTACGGAGGAAAGGAAAACAGAGTAAGGACAAAGCAGGCACCCAAATGCTCGTGTGAATTGAGCGTCTCTCTGATGAGATGACATTTGAGCAGCAGCCTGAGTGAAGTGATGGAAGGTGCAGATACCTAGGGGACCTCCGATCTCTGGGAAGAATGAAGAATTGGAAGTGGGAGCTTCTAAGAGTGCTCAGTGAATAGCAAGCAGACATTCCAGTGGGGCAGAAGCAGAGTGAATGAGGCGGGCAGTGAGATGTGAGGGGCCTAGATCCTAGGACGTTCTAGGTCAGTCTAAGTACTTAAGCTGTTTTCCCCCTGAATTTAAGGAAACCATTAAGAGGCTGTGAACAGCAGAGTGACATGATCTTACTGGCGTTTTAAGGGCTCATGCTGGCTGCTCTGTAGAGAACAGACTGTAAAGGACAAGGGAGGAAACTCGAGGCTGATTGGGTGACTGCAGGGGTCAAGGAGAGTGAACCTGTGACTTGGACCAGGGTGTTAGCATTGGAAATGGGTTAACATTGGCTTAGTGTGTATTTGTGGAATAATGATTAAATTTCTTTAGCTCCCCTGTGAGCCTTTTGTAAACTTTTGGAAGGCAAGATCTGTATCTGATTTATCTTTCTATTCGAAGTACTTAGAAAAGGCTTGCCAAATCATAGGAGTACAATATTATTTTTAAATGTTTTTCTTTCTTTTTTTAAATTGGTTAAGTTTCTGAGCATGACATAAGTGGAGGGGAGGATGATATATGATATCTTATTGTTACTCCATTTTCTAGATGGGGAAACTGAAGTTCAGAGAGGTTAAATCTCAATTAAGTCCTCACAAGCCACAAGGTGATGAAGCCAGTCTTTAGTCTCAAGTCTGTCTGAGCTCATAGCCCTTACCTTTTCCATTCTATCAGCTAGGCTGGTATAGAGAAGGTGCTGGTAAGGCATGGGAGGAAAGACTGGATGTGGGGGCCCCGGCTATGAGCGGCAAATCCCGCTCCTGATGACAGACGGTGCCTCCTTCAAGAGCAAAGCTGTGATCTCTGTCCTAGGCAGAAAGACCTGCTTTTGGAAAAGCCTCCTTTTCCAGGCAGAGTCAATATGCACCTGTGTGACTGGTCCTTCTGATTCACACATGGGGGTTGCTTTTTATTTTTTTATTT